CGTCGTCGTCGTCGCTGTCTTCGTCGCCGTCGTCGTCGTCGTCGAGTGGTCGGGGGGGAGGGCTTCTCACGGAGCTGCGCCACGTGCGCGCGCCCGATGATGATAGCGTTTTAATTGTTTTGCGCGTTTGCACCTTGAGCCTGTGAAAACCGACTACGACATGGCAGTGAGTCAGGATTTTTTTAGCTGGAACAAGCCCCGCAAGCGCAGAACGCTGCCCAGTTAGCAGCGCGCTAGCTCGCGCCGAGCGCGCGCTGGATTTTTCCTGACGTTCCGCGCTGATGCCGTTGGTGGACGGGGGCGGTGTCGACTGCGCGGAGCGCCGCGGATCTCGGCCGACTGGTCGGCGTAAGTTCGGCGGCGCGCCGAGGGGGGGGGGGGGGGGGCCTCTCAGAAGGTAGGGTGCTTCTTAGGAGCCCTCGGAGGCTTCCAAGAAGCCCATCGGAAGGCTTCTAAGAAGCACCCTGCCTTCAAAGAAGCCCTCCGACCTCCCCATGCCCCCCTCGGCGCGCCGCCGATACGTGCTGCGCCTGGCAGCCATTTCAACGACGTCAGCGTCCGCGTGGCGGTCGATAAGTCGATTCAGCTTTTCAGCAGCTGCAACGTTTGGTATGCGTTAATTTGGATGGGATGTCTACGGGGCGACCCGGTGCGCAGTCATTCCGCAGGCAGCCTCGCACGCGCGCAGGCGGAGGAGGACGGCGACGAGGCCAATTACGCGGACCAGGAGGGGGGGAATGGATGAGCGGAGGGAGTGGAGGCAGGCAGGGGGGATGGATGGATGAAGGGACGAAGGGGTGGGGGGGCGGAAGGAGGAGGGCGGAGGGCGCGGCATAGGAGGGCGAAGCACCCGAGAACGCGACGACGTCTACTGGGCCATGGCGATGATGAGGGGGAGGCAACGATGAGCGGGATAATGGCGCCAGAGCCAGAGCCGAAGATTCGGGGGCACCTGGAATGCCTCGTGAAGACTCCGCCCAATTTGCTGGTAGCGCCATGCCTCTACGAGGCAGGAGCAGTTGATGGGGGGGCGCAGGCCTCGGCTCGGGGGGGGGGGGGGGGGGGGGGCCCTCTCGGCGGGCGTTGCCCAGTTTTGGCCCCGCGGTGCTTCGGGTCACTTTTCCCGCCCCCCCCCCTGCGCCCGCCGCCCCCGCTGTTCCGACGTCGAGAGGCTCTGGGCAGCGGGGCAAGACTTATATCTAGATCGCGAAGGACCGCTCAGACACTGTTGCCGCTACGAGGCAGATGTGGCCCAGTTTTGGCCCGCAGTGCTTTGGGTCGCCTTTTCTGCCCCCCCCCCCCCCTGCGCCTGCTGCGCGCAGATCTGCAGCGGGGCAACTAGGTCGCGAAGGGCCGCTCAGAGACTGTTGGCGGAAGAGTAACGCGCCAAACCATCGAAAGCAAATTATAACATAGTCATAATGATACAGCACAGAATATGCAAACGGCGATCAACTTCGACGTGGCGCTCGCGAAAAAAAGCACGCGGCTGGAATGCCCCGTTCGACGCAGGCAAATATACGCAAATGCGCGCGTTGGCCCCGCAACCCCCCGAACAGCGCGAGGCGGGAAGCGCGCGCGCCGTAGGACATTGAGGGGGGGTTGCGGCGAGTCGGTCCAGATGTCTTCGCCGCAGACCTGATGCCGCCGCCCATGCCCAGGACGAGGTGGCTTCCCAATCATGCCCTTGTGCCCGGCGGGGATCGGGGATCGTCGTCGTCGTCGTTGTCGTGGTCGGGGATTGTCGTCGTCGTCGTGGTCGGGATCGTCGTGGCTTCCCGCGGTCGGGGATCGTCGCACTCGTCGTCGTTGACCCATCCCCAGCCGGTCTCGTCGGCCAGCCCCCGCGTTGACGCCCGCGGCGGGCTGCCGCCGGGACGCCCAAGGGCCGTGCGTCCTCGCCCTGCGTCCGTGCGAGGCGCGTCATCATCGTCGTCGTCGTCGTCGCGCCCCCCCCCCGCGGCGCGCGCGACGGGGCGGTCAGCGGAGGAGAGGACACCGCTACCGCTGCTCGCCCCAGGGAGCCCTTGTCGCCACGGCTGGATTTGCTTCGAGATTCTGGTCAGCACGTGCCCCGCGGAGAGGTCCACGGAGCAGCGGCATCGGTTCCTGATTGAGGGTTGCCGTGGCGCCACGCGGTCTGCGCTGCTAGATTCCCAGGGGCATCGCTCCTCTACAGTCGAGTCGAGAGCTTGCCCGACCTGGGGTCTACTCGGCTTCTCGAAGATGCCTGATCCGACTTTTTGGTGCCTGCCCAGGGTCGACGTGGGGTCGCCTGGATTGGCTGTTCGATCGGGAACTTGGAGTAAGCGGACCCTGCTGACAAAAAAGTCCCAGGGCGCCTGTGCTCTGGCATCGCCGTCGCCGCCGCCGCCATCGTCGAATACTTACTTCTAGAGAATAGTTACTGTTGATGCATGGAAGGTTCCGCGCGCTCCTGCCTCGACGCCAGTTGCATTTTCTTTGGAATCGAGGCTCCCGCTCGAGCGGGAGCGTGCTTCTTAATGTGAGTTGTTGAAGGCCTAGCTACGACGACAATGGCTCCCGCTCGATCAGTCCTCGCAATTTACTCCGAGCCGCCCTGGTCAGACAGGCCCCGAAACTCAGGCACGGCGCTCTCGCGCTCGAGACTTCGTCGCAAGTCGCGCAAGTTGGTGGAGGCCCAGCTGCGACGACAACGGCTCCCGCTCGACACTTCCTCGCAATTTTCTCCGAGGTGCCCTGGCCAGAGAGGCCCCCGAATTCAGGCGCGGCGCTCTCGCTCGAGACTTCGTCGCACTTGACGCAAGTTGGTTGAGGCCCAACTACGACCACACTTCCTCGCAATGTACTCCGAGCCGCACTGGCTAGAGAGGCCTCGAAGCTCAGGAATGGCGCTCTCGCTCGAGACCTCGTCGCAATTCAGGCGAGTTGGTGGAGGCCCAACTACGACGACAACGGCTCCCGTTCGATACTTCCGCGCAATTTACTCCGGGCCGCCCTGGCCAGACAGGCCCCCGAACTCAGGAACCACGCTCTCGCTCGAAACTTCCTCGCGAGTTGCTCAAGTTGGTGTTTGGCCCCCGGGCGCGCTAGCTCGCTTTACGGCCGTGGCGGCGTGGTGAGGCACTGGTAAGTCCGTGTGTGAATTTTCATGGGTGGGCGAGGTAAGTCACTGGTAAGTCACTAGTAAGTCACTGGTAAGTCTCTGGGATGGAGATAAGTCACTGGCGAGTCCGCGGCGACCCAGGCGGGCCCGCGCCGCGGGCGCGAGTCATGGCCGCGGGCCGCTGGCGGGTCGCACGGGCAGCGCGCGCGCGGGGCGCTGGCGCGCTGCATGGGGCAAGTCCCAGGCGGGTCGCAGGTCGCAGGCGCGCGCTGCCAGCGGGGCCTGGATCGGGTTGCGGGCGCCGGCGCACCGGGGGGGCGCGTCGTAGGCCTCGTCGCTGGCCCCTTACCTTTTCTTCGCCCCCTCCGCCCCATCCCCGCGGGGCCGCGAGCGGGGGTCTCTGCCGCCCCCCCTTGGAGATCAAACTTTTCTCATATCTATTTGGTGCCAAACTAAGACGGCGACGGCGGGCCCGAAACGATTCGAATTCCTGTTTGCAAAATGTTAGCAAGCGTGGGCCCCAAACGGTGTGCGCTCGAGCAATATTTTCGGCCCACTTTATCCCAGTTTGGGGCCTTTTGAGCAGCTCCTGAAGCTCCATTCTAACTGGGCCGTCGGGGGCCTGTCTTGGCTGCCTTGAGCCCTCTTGGGCTGTCTTTGTGCCCTCTTCTGCCTGCAGGCGTGGCATTTGGGCCCGTCGCCGCGTCGGGGCGAGGAGTCTCGGGTTATGATGCTCCAACCTACTTCCATCGGTCTCACCATCGATCTGACTACCCACCTCTTCATCGATGTCACAATCGATCTCACTATAGATCGCACGAGCGGCCTCACGATCGATGTCACAATCGATCTCATTGAATCGATTTCAATGATCGGCCTCTCGATCGACGTTACCATTGTCCTCATCATCGATCCCCATATTGATTTCACTATGGATCTCGCAATCGATTTCACTTCAATGTCCATATAGCTAATTTGCAAAGGTTCCACTGATTGGGCTTCATCTCTGGTGTAATATAACTGCAGCTTGTTGGGGGGTGATAGCGTGGAAATTCATGGTTAGAAACACCCTGCTTCCTTCCAGGGTGTCCTGGTATTCTCGGGTGTCGAAGGTTTCGCCACGGAAGGCGTGACGCTCCCACACCAAAAAATCGATGGACGTCTTGGGGTCTCAGGGTTGGGCTTCTTGAGGAAGGGTTCTGTGGTCGAGCTCCTCCTGGAGGGTTTGCCACTCAGCTTCACCTCCGATCCCCTCCCCCTCGTGCCTCCCCGTCCGGCCCCCTCCTGCCCGGACCCCCCCCGCTCCGCAGCGGCCCGCTATCCTTCCGCTATCTCTGATTTGCCTCCTCCTGCGGGCAACGTCTTTGTCCACATCCAGTGCGTCTTGGAGTTTCGGACCCTCTTCCAAGAAACATGAGGCGCACTGGATACGGATTATAATCTGCCTCCAAAAGGCTCAATGTTTGTCCATATCCAGTGCACCTCGGCCTTGCGGCGCCCCTTCCAAGAAAGTCCAAGACGCACTGGATATGGATATAAATATTGCCCGCACCTCCGTCCCGCTTCCCGCCCTCCTTCGGACTGGGCTGGGACGAGGGTAAATCCGTTCCAGAGCGTTCCAGGACGCTCTCAGAGGTTGAATTCTGCATCGGCGTTGGTGCAACCGTTGGCCGACGAATGCCGTGCAGTCCCGTTTGATCTGGCTTAACCGGTATCAATGTGTTGCATCATTTTGCTCAGTGCGGTCGAATGACCTGTTCATCGGGTTGAGTAGTTGTTAGTTGTTCTTGCGAAGACCTCCCAGGAGTTGCCTCCCCCCCCTCTCCCCCATCATTGCCTTCACGCGCAACGGCCACTGCCGCCTCTCGCCCCTCTCGCTCCCTCTCCACCCCAGCCCTCTTCCCTCCGGCAGGAGCAAAGGACCAATCTCTCGAAGCTGCAGGTGGAGTGCGACGCGGCGGAGAAGAAGGCACCGCGCCGCGCTGGACGACGCTGCACGCCCGCGCACCACGCACGACGCACGACGACGGCATCGACGACGACGCACCACGACGACGTCGACGACGTCACGTCGACAGCGACATCGTCGACCACGACGACCCAGGAGGGGGAGGAGCAGGAGGAGCAGGAAGAGGAGGAGGAGGAGGAGGAGGAGGAGGAGGAGGAGGAGGAGGAGAGGAGGAGGAGGAAGGGGGAGGAGGAGGAGGCGGAGGAGGAGGGAGGAGGAGGAGGAGGAGAGGAGAGGAGGAGGGGGAGGAGGAGGAGGAGGAGGGGAGAAAGGAATGTAGGAGGGAGGGATAGAAGGGGAGGGGGAGGTGAGGAGAGGATTAGGAGGAGGCTGAGGGACAGTGGAGATGGAGGATGAGGAGGAGTGATGAGGAGTCCCGCGGCCCGCGGCTCCGCTGCGCGGGCCTCGCCCCGCGGGTGGAGCTGGAGGCGGGATCTCCTGGGCGCCCGGCGTGGCGGGCCGCCGCGCCGCCCGGTGCCCACGGCCCCCCCCTTGGGAGTCTCCCCGCGGGCCTCCCGTGGCCTCTCGCGGGGGGGCCTCGTGGCCTCCGCCGCCTCCGCCTCCTCCTCCTCCTCCTCCTCCTCCTCCTCCTCCTCCTCCCTCCCCCCCTCCTCCCCCTCCCCCTCTCCTCCTCTCCTCCCTCCTCCTCCTCCTCCTCCTCCTCCTCCTCCTCCTCCTCATCCTCCCCCTCCCCCTCACTCCCCTCCTCCTCCTCCTCCTCCTCTCCCTCCTCCTCCTCCCCCTCCTCCTCCTCCTCTGAGCCTCCGCGCCCGCCGCGGAGCGCCCGCGGAGCGCCTCGGCGAGCCGGGCGGCCGTCCCGGGGGCCCTCTCTGGGCAGTCGTGGGCTGCTCACTGGGTGCTCGAGGGTCGTCTTTCGGACCTCGTGGGCCTTCCTCCTCCTCCTCCTCCTCCTCCTCCTCCTCCTCCTCCTCCTCCTCCTCCTCCTCCTCCCCCTCCACAATTACTCAATATGAAATTATCCCGGCAAAGCACTAACAGCGATGTGTAGGGAGCATATCTGGAAGCATTCCCCTTAAGATTCAGATGAGAATCCAGTTGTAGAATTCTGCTGTTCTCGCAGTCGTAGTCGCATTCGCGATGACAGTCGCAGTGGCAGTCACAGACACAGCAGCTTCAGCCTCAGCCTCAGCCTGCCTCAGCCTCAGCCTCAGCCTCAGCCTCAGCCTCAGCCTGCCTCAGCCTCAGCCTCAGCCTGCTTCAGCCTCAGCCTCAGTCTGCCTTCAGCCTCGGCCTCAGCCTCAGCCTGCCTCAGCCTCAGCCTGCCTCAGCCTCAGCCTCATCAGCCTGCCTCAGCATTCAAAATGTGGCCCGGGAATGGAGTTCTGGGAACTCGAAGAACACGAAGTGGCCTACAGTTGGCTCCGGGCATTCAAAATCATGCCCAGGAATGGAGTTCTGGGAACTCGAAGACCACGAAGTGGCCTACAGTTGGCTCCGGGCATCCAAAATGTGGCCCGGGAATGGAGTTCTGGGAACTCGAAGAGCACGAAGTGGCCTACAGTTGGCTCCGGGCATCCAAAATGTGGCCCGGGAATGGAGTTCTGGGAACTCGAAGAGCACGAAGTGGCCTACAGTTGGCTCCGGGCATTCAAAATGTGGCCCGGGAATGGAGTTCTGGGAAATCGAAGAGCACGAAGTGGCCTACAGTTGGCTCCGGGCATTCAAAATGTGGCCCGGGAATGGAGTTCTGGGAAGTCGAAGACCACGAAGTGGCCTACAGTTGGCTCCGGGCATTCAGAATGTGGCCCGGGAATGGAGTTCTGGGAGGTCGAAGAGCACGAAGTGTGTGACTGTTGGCTTAAAACGACTTCTGCGGCACCCTGTCCGGCACCCGCCCAGACCCCCCTGTGGAGTCATCTGCTGCTCTCTTTTGACCCTACTAGAAACCTATCAGAACAAGCTGTTAGGTAAATACTCTCCCTCTTCCCCTGATGGAGTCCGGGTGATGGCCGCGCACCCTCCGCGTACTGTTTTCTCACACACAGGATGCCCGGGAAATCCCGGGAAACAACTCTCGCTGAGGCGCCGGCGTCATTTTTTCCCAAAATGCTGCTCTCGTTGAGGCGCCGGCCTCATTTCTGCTCCCGAATCGTTCCGAATCGTGCTCCCGCTGCAGCGTGGGCCTCATTTTCGGATCGGTGTTTGGCCTCCGTCGTTCAGGATGGCGTTCTCGCCCCAGCGCGGGCCTTTTCTCGCGCGCCCATCCGCCCGCCACCACCGCGCCGCACCGCCACCACCACCACCACCACCACCACCACCACCACCACCACCACCACCACCACCACCACACCACCACCAGCACCAGCACCACCACACACCACACACCACCACACACCACCACCACCACCACCACCACCACCACCACCACCACCACCACCACCACCACCACCACAACGACAACCACGCACACACGCACGCACGCACGCACGTGCACCACCACCCACTACGCACGCGCGCGCGGAGCCACAGGTCCGCTACGACACGCGTCCGCGGATAGAGAAAATCAGCGCCATGGTAAGGGATGGGAGGGAGGGGTAGGACGTCAGATATGACGCGAGCGCACCTAGCTTGTCCCCCTCCCCCTCCTCCTCCTCCTCCTCCTCCTCCTCCTCCCCCTCCTCCTCCCCCTCCTCCCCCTCCTCCTCCTCTGAGCCTCCGCGCCCGCCGCGGAGCGCCCGCGGAGCGCCTCGGCGAGCCGGGCGGCCGTCCTGGGGGCCCTCTCTGGGCAGTCGTGGGCCGCTCCCTGGGTGCTCGAGGGTCGTCTTTCGTCTTTCGGACCTCGTGTGGGGCCCCCCAAAATATACACCACCACCACCTCCCTCACCCCCTCCCTCATCCAGGAAAGAGGAAAGGAAGAGGAGGGTAGAGGAGAGAGGAGGAATCGACGTGGTGGTGGTGTATATTCTTTGAGTCCCCATCGTGGGCCTTCCCTGGGCCGTCCTTCGGAGGCCTGGAGGTTGACACCAACACCAGTATCGGCGATGTGCCTCCACCGAAGGACGAGGATCCCGACGACGGCGATGGTGGTAATATTCGGACTTCCAGGGTGGCCGAAATCTTACCACCAACACCAAAAACCTAGGATCACCTTCCCCTGGTGGAAGCTAACATCGGTGTTGGTGTTGGTGCCCACTTCTGAGCCTCCCAGTCTTGGGGCCCTCTCTGGGCAGTCGTGGGCCGCTCCCTGGGTGCTCGAGGGTCGTCTTGGAGGCTCGTGCCGTCTGCGGGGGGCGTCTGGGGGGCTTCCGTCTCGGGCCGTCTTGCGGGCCTCTTGCCGGCCTGTTGTGGGCCTCCTGGGCCATGTTGGGGCGATGTTTCAGGCATGTGGGACCGTCCTGGCTTGGAGCGTCGGAGGCCCGAAAAGGTGAGCACGCTGACATCATGCGAACCAACCCAATGGAAATCAATGATTGTTGCCTCCTGAAGGTCCACGTTGAGCCCTATTGCGACGTCTTGGGGGCCTATTGGGCAGTCCGTTTGGGGAGCGTCTTGGGCTGTCTCGAGCCATCTTGGCAGTCGAATGGATTTCCACGTCGAGTCATGCGTATAATGTTCGGAGATCTACGAACATGATACTCATGTCTCATGGATTCGACGACCAGATTAATTCTGGAGTCAAGCGATTCTGTAGTCGATCCCCTGGACGTCTTGCACCATCTTGCAGCCACCCGGAGCGGAGAAGCCTTTCTCTCCCACCCCGCCTGCGTGGCCGGCGGGATCGGCCGAGACTTCCACCTGGAAACATCCTTCAGAGAAGGCGGTCAGCACAGAAACCTTGGGCGCGCCAGGCACAGAAACTGTGGCCGCGCCAGGCGCGGCATGTGATCGTTTTCTTATTCATTGTTTTGCCGATCGGCACGGGCCCTCGCACCCCTCCCCCTCCCCCCCCCCCCATGGACTGGATCTTGGCTGTTTTTGGCGCCTGCCTCATGCAGGTGGAGGCTCCCCCATAGGACACACTGTTTCAAAGAGTCGCACTGTGCAGACGCCCGGAGCCAGACCGCCCCGTCTCCCCCCCAAGTTCCGCCCATGGTCGAAACGCTGAATAAGAAAACGCTCACAACATTGGGCGCGCCATGCGCGCCAGGCCCTCGACAGGGGGCGGCGGATCTAGTTGCCTTCGGCTCATCCCATGAGATCCTGGCGTCCCAATTTCAGGAGGGGAAAGACACACAGACACAATTAATCGTCGATTCCCAGTGGGGGGAAGACGAAAACCAAGAAAGTATTGGAACATATGGGGAATCCTTTTACTTGTGTGTATTTGTTTGTGGGTCCCAGGGCCCCTTTACGATTTTTCGAGCTGGGAGTTGCCGCAGTTTTGCTCTGTCCCCTTGGGCCTTGGCAGATCGACTTCTCTCTCGATCAGATGACGCAGCAGGGGGTGGGGTCCAGGTCTCCTGGCGTGATCTCTTACGATGCTGAATTTGTTTCGCTACGTCGGACTTGGCATCGCTCGGGCGTGTGCGTTGTTTTTCCTCGGCGAGGACCATCGAGGAGCATCCTTGACCACTTGCCGAACAAAACCACGCACGAAACCGAACAAAAGCACAGGGAATGGACGTCCGAGCGATGGCGAGTCGTCGGATCTCGGGGTCCCGCCACCGGCCCCATGCAGGTTCGAGACCCCATGGCCGCGTGCGGGGATCTCTGGGGAGCCATCTCGGAAGCCCACTGGAAGCTGACTCGGGGCCTTTCGGGGGCCGTTTGGGACCCGATGTGAGCCTCTTGGGTGCCTCCTTGAGCTTCCGGGGGGGGGGGCTTGTTGAGGGTGCTTGGCGGCCTTGGAGCTCGTGTTTGGGCGGATGGCCCGAAGTGTCGGTGCGTGCTCCGCTTCTGGGGCCTCCCTCGGGCCCGTCTTGGGGGCCTCTTGGGCCCTCTTGCGGCCCTCGTGGGCCCTCTGGGGGGCCCTTGGTTGGGAGACTCAGGGCCGTCACGGGGGCCTCGGCTCCCTCTCTTGGCCCGTGCTGGCGCCCCATTGGCTCCGAGGCAGGCCGCGCGGGAAGACAGGTAGTCCGAGGCGCGCCCGGATGCGCCTGGTGCTCCTGGCTGTGGGTCCCGCAGGGAACCCTCAGCACTGAGGGCCGTGGGCTCGAATGGCCTGAGCTTAGTGGGCCCTGGAAACGACAGGGCCGTTTTTTACCGGTTCCGTTTTGCCGTTTTTTTACCGGTTCCGACGCCGTCTTTTTTCCCGTTCCATCGCCGTTTTTTACGGGTTCTGGCTCCGGTTCCAATCCTTGAGCGGTTTTGTGGGCGTTTCCGGTCGCCGTTTTTTTGCCGTTTCCATTTCCAAGGAACTTTTTGTCGGAAACGGTGAAAAAACGGCCCTGCCGTTTCCGGGGCCCACAAAGGGCCTGAGGACACTCCAGCTCGTGCCTCGCGGCACGTGGGCAGATCCTCCACGTCTTCTTGCAAGCCCCCCGCTTTCTTGGAGTGCCGCCCCTTTCGCAGCACCCCCGCGTGCGCACCGCCAAGGATGTCCGAGGAGTTGGGCGCCGAAGACGCTGGCCGGAGCCGGGGTCCAACATCGCCCCCTGGTCCTTCTTCTTCTTATTATTATTATTATTATTATCATTCTTATTATTCAAATTCTTTGTATTAGTATGCGTCTTGTTATTCTTCTTATTGTTATTAATATTATTACTATTGTTTTTCTTATTATTATTCCTCCTCCTCCTCCTCCTCCTCCTCCTCCGCTTACCGGTGGTCCGTTCTGACCATGCCAGGTGTTCCAGTCGAGCTGACGGGAAGCCTCCCAGAGGCGAGACAGCTACCCTAAACGGCAAGTGGTCTCGACGTTGGCACGTCGAGGTTCCCTCCTGCCTCTGCTTGTGTGAGCCACTGGATGCCCCAGATTTCGTCATAAAAGGGAGGGGGTCTGGACCCTCCAAGACAAGACGTTTCAGACCCCCCCTCGTGGGAGAACCCTCCAAAACATCGTCCCCAGACCACCCCAGGCCCTCCAAGATAGCTTGGAAAAGACCCCCCCCCGAAATGAGACCCCCCTCCCTGTAGTACGAAATCTGGAGTAGCCGAGGAGGGAGTCGAAGAAGAGAAGCGGCAGTTCCAGAGGTCCCCTCGGATGTCGTCCCTGGCGGCGCGCGCAAACCCCAGAAGAGTCGGCGCGGACCTCAGAAAGCCCACATGCGGTCGGCAGCGCCGTCGTCGTCGGCGACGGCGTGGTTGCCCCCTGCGGCGGCTGCGGCCACGGCCGACGTGGGCACCCCAGGCTGTGCGAAATCTGGCCGCGGTGGCACAGTAAATTTGGGGGAGGCCCGCCGCGGGTTCCATGTGCCTCTCAACAGGAGGAGGAGGAGGAGGAGGAGGAGGAGGAGGAGGAGGAGGAGGAGGAGGACGCGGGGCAGAGCAAAGAAACATGTTTTTTCACAGTCCACGCGGATACAGTCGACGCCCTGAAGAAGGAGCCCTTTCCGTTGGGGAGGGGCTCCGTGTTCCTTGATTGTTCCACACCCTGCCTCGGGTTGTCCCCAGGTTTCCGACGGGAAATCGAAGGTTGACTCGTGGGACGAAAAGGGGCCCCGTTCCCTGTTTAGGGTTCCTTAGGTCCACGTCTCGACTGTGTGTAGCCGGAGGAGGAGGAGGAGGAGGAGGAGGAGGAGGAGGGAGGAGGAGGAGGAGGAGGAGGCGGAGGAGGAGGAGGAGGAGGAGGAGGAGGGAGGAGGAGGAGGAGGAGGAGGAGGAGGAGTCAGCGCCCCGACTGTAGCAAGGACGAACGATTGCCCAAGGCTGCCCCTGCAGCCTGCCCTCGCGGCCCATCTTCGGCCACTCTCTCCGCCGGCCGCGCGGCCCGCCCTCCGCGCCCTCCGGGGCCCCCTGCGTCCTTACCGCAGCCCTTCTTGCACACCAGATTTCGTACGAAAGGGAGGGGGGTCTCATTTCGGGGGGGGGGGAACGTGAGTTTGGGGGGGAGGGGAAGTGAGTTTGGGGGGGAGGGGAAGTGTTCAGTCCTTGTTTCCCTCTACCGTCGGTAATTCTGTCCTTAGCGTCGGTTACTCCAGATTTCGTACTAAAGGGAGGGGGGTCTCATTTCGGGGGGGGGTTTTTCCAGGCTATCTTGGAGGGTCTGGGGGGGTCTGGGGACGATGTTTTGGAGGGTTCTCCCACGGGGGAGGCCTGAAATGTCTTGTCCTGGAGGGTCCAGACCCCCTCCCTTCTATGACGAAATCTGGAGGACACCTTGACCTTAGTGGGCCCTGGAAACGACAGGACCGTTTTTTTTCTGCCGGTTCCGTTTTGCAGTTTTTTTACCGGTTTCGACGCCGTTTTTGTTACAGATTCCGTCGCCGTTGTTTCACCGGTTCCAGCTCCGGTTCCAATTCTGGAGCCGTTGTTTTGCCGTTTCCGGTCGCCGTTTTCTTGCCGTTTCCATGTTCAAGGGGCAGTTTTTCTGGAAACGGTGAAAACACGGCCCTGCCGTTTCCGGGGCCCACAGAGACCTTGACTGCAGTAAGAGTAGGGCAGAGCAAATCAGCATTTTAGATTCTCCACTGTTCTTAATCGTCCTGGGAGGCGGCGGTGGCGCCGGCGGAGTCGCCCGCCCCCCCCCCGTCGAGGCACACGTCGAGCTGCAGGCGTGGACCGAGCACACGGACGAGCAAGGCGGCGCCTGCGCCCGTCGGCCGGCGCTCTCGCTGGGAACTGGGCCCCACAGACCGCCCAGATTGGGTCATAGTCGATGGTTAGTGGGCCCTGGAAACGACAGGGCCGTTTTTTTACCGGTTCCGTTCTGCCCTTTTTGTTGCCGGTTCCGAGGCCGTTTTTTTACCGGTTCGGTCGCCGTTTTTTGACCGTTCCGGCTCCGGTTCCAGTCCTGGAGCCGTTTTGTTTGCCGTTTCCGGTCGCCGTTTTTTTGCCGTTTTCATTTTGAAGGGGCGTCTTTTTTTGGAAACGGTGAAGAAACGGCCCTGCCGTTTCCGGGGCCCACAAAGCCCCAGACCTCCCAGATTGGGTCATAGTCGATGGGGTTGGAGGATCGCGCTGTATCGCCGATGCATCCGCGATGCGGCTCGATGTGGGCCCCGACTTTCTCCACGCTCACGTCGCCGGTGCAGCGCCGACGTCACCGATGCGTCGCCGATGCGTCGACAATGCATCGCCGGTGCATTGCCGATGCGGCGCTGTCCTCCGACCCCAGCTACTCCGACCCGATCTGGGAGGCTTGGGAGCCTCACCATTTTTGAGGAACAACAAATCAAGCATTGCCGTAGCGTCCTGGCTTGCACATAGGCCAGCCAAAGCATGTTCTAAGAACCTCCTTGTGGTTTGCTCGAAATCTAGTGGAACGTAGGTGGCTGTGACAGCAGAATCGGCTTAATGCATAGGTGCGATGTTCTCGAAAACATTTCTCAGAGACCCGCGCGGATTTCTTCGATAGACATGGGGCTGCCTCGGCAGTGCCTCCTGTGCCGCCACTGGCGAGGTCCCCCTGGCGCGCGGAGCGCCCAGACCTCCGTTAAAGTGTGTTCCGCCACGAAAAGCTGACCCAGTGGGGATGACCACGACTACAACTACCACTATTATTTCTTTTACTATTACTGGTACCACTACTACTACTACTACTACTACTACTACTACTGCTGCTGCTGCTACTACTACTACTACTCCTACTACTACTGCTACTGCTACTACGACTACTACTACTACTACTACTACTACTACTACGCCTACTACTACTACTACTACTACTACTACTACTACTACTACTACAACTACTACGACTACTACTACTACGACGACTACTACTACTAGTGCTGCTACTACGACTACTACTACGACGACTACTACTACTAGTGCTGCTACTACGACTACGACTACTACAATTACTTCTATCACTGCGACTACTACTACTACACTACTACTACTACTACTACTACTACTACCACTGCTACTACTACTACTACTACTACTACTACTACTGCTGCTACTACTACTACTACTACTACTACTGCTACTGCTACTACTGCTACTACGACTACTACTACTACTACTGCTACTACGACTACTACTACTACTACTACTACTACTACTACTACTACGACTACTACTACGACGACTACTACTACTAGTGCTGCTACTACGACTACTACTACTACGACGACTACTACTACTAGTGCTGCTACTACGACTACGACTACTACAATTACTTCTATCACTGCGACTACTACTACACTACTACTACTACTACTACCACTACTACTACTACTACTACTACTACTACCACTGCTACTACTACTACTACTACTACTACTGCGACTACTGCGACTTCTACTACTAATCTGAACCCCCATCTTACTACTACACCTGGTTCTACTCCTACTTCTACTCCTACGACCTTTACTTCTAATTCTGCTGTTACGACGACTTCTACTTCTGATACGACTGCTACTCCTAGGATTATTACGACTACGACTACGACGACTTTTTTTACGACGATTACTACCACTCTTACGACTTCTACTACGACTATTACTATTACTACTACTACTGCCATGAGTGTTGTTACTACAACTGTTACTACTTCAAAAATGCTACTACCGCTACTACTACTGCTACCCACTACTACTACTACTACTACAAGTAATATTACTACTACTACTACTATTATTACTACTACGACTACTTCTACAACATTTACTACTACTACTACTACTACTACTACTACTACTACTACTATTTCCACTATTGATACGACTGCCACTACTACTACTACTACTACTACTACAACTACTACGATTACTGTTTACTACTACTACTACTACTGCTACTACTACTACTGCTACTACTACTACTCCGGCTACTGCTGCGTCCAGTTTTATTATTTTTGCTGTTACGATTACGACGACTACTACTACGACTACTACTACCACGACTACTACTACAACCACTACGACTACTTCAAATACTACGACGACCATTGCGACTACTGCTACTACTACGACGACTACTAAGTGTACTACTCCTTATCCTTACTATCGTAACTACCACGACTACGATTACTAGCACTAGTACTACTATTATTATTACTACTAGTACTACTACTACTACTTCTACGACTACTACTACTACTGCTTATGCTATCACTGTTACTACCATTTCTACTTATAGTGCTCACTACTGCTACTATCACTACTACGACTGCTACCGCAACCACTACTACCACTAAGACGAGTAGTCCTCCTACTCCCACTACCATTACTACCACTATCACGAATAGAACGACTCTTGCGTATAGTATTCCCACTCCTACTAGTGTTATTGTTAGTACATACTCTTACTACTACTACTACTACTACTACTACTACTACTACTACGACTACGATTACTACTAGTCCAACTACTACTACTACTACTACTACTACTACTACTACTACTACTACTACTACGACCACTACTACTCCTACTACTCCTACTACTACTACTACTATTACTACTACTACTACTACTTTACGGCATGCTACTACCACCATTACTGCTACTACTACTACTACTGCTACTACTACTACTACGACTACGACTACGACTACTACTACTGTTGTTGCTGCTACTGCTGCTACTACTACTACTACGATGACTACTACTACTGCGATTACTACTACTACTACTACTACTACTACTACTACTACTACTACTACAACGACGACGGCGACGCTGACGACGACGACGACGGTTGCGACGACGACGACGACGAAGACGGCGGCGACGATTGCTGCTGCTGCTGCTACTGCCTCAGGCTATGTTTGCTACTACTACTACTACGACTGCTACTACTACCGTTGCTGCTGCTGCTACGGTTACGACGCCTGCTATTACAGATAGTTGTACTACTAATACGAGTACTACTACGACGGCGGCTATTACTACTACTACTACTACTACTACTACTACTACTACTTCTACTACTACTACTACTACTACTACTACTACTTTACTATTACTACTACTACTACTGCTACTATTACTACTACTAGTACTAGCACTAGGACTACTACTACTACTACAACTACAACTACTACTACTACTACTACTACTACTACTACTACGACTACTACTACTACCACTACTACTACTACTACTACCACTACCACTACTACTACTACTACTACTACTACTATTGCTACGACTCCTATGCTTACTGCGACTACGACTACTACTACTACTACTACTATTCGTATTACTACTTCGACGACTACTACTACTATTATTTCTTCTGTTACAACGACAACTACCTTTACTATTCTTACTACTAGTACTACTACTACTACGGGTATTACTACTACCACTACTACTACTGCTCCTACGAATACTACTACTACCATCACTGCTACGGCCCCTGTGCTTACTACCAGTATTACTACTACTACTTATGTTTACTACTACTACTATTATTACTACTACTTTTACTACTACTACTACTACTACTACTACGACTACGACTACTACTACTACTACTACTACTACTACTTCGACTGCTACTACTACTACTACTACTACTACTACGTCTGTTACGACGACGACTACCACTACTATTCTTACTATTAGAACTACCACTACGGCGACGACTACTACTACTACTACTACTACTACTACTACTACTACTACTACCACGACTACTACTACTACTACTACTACTACTACTACTACTACTACCACTACTGCTACTCACTCCTACTACGGCTACTGTGACTACAGCTGCATCTACTGCTCTTGCTACTACTACTACAACAACTACTGCTGCTGCTGATACTGCTACTGCTACTTTTTCTACCGCTAGGATTACCACGACCACAACGACTCCTACGACAGTTGGATGCAACACTCGGGAGGTATAACATGTACCCTGGCGAAGCACCCAAGCATATGCAATTGTGAATACCGCAGGTGTGATTATCTCCTTCGGTGGGGCTCCGTAGCCGCCTGCGAGGGGAGCCATTGGGGCCTTCGATAGCCACGGGGGGCGGCGGTGGGGCTTACCATGGGGCCATGAAATGCGTGATGGGTTTGCCGAAAGGGGGCTGGAACCGCATGCCATAGCTGCCACTGTGGCCTTCGGTGGAGCTCCCTCTGGGGCCACGAAGCGTGTGATGAGTGTGCCGAGATAGAAGTGCCACCTCATGCGAACGCAGCCACTGAGGCCGTCGGTGGAGCTCCCTATGGGGCCACGGAGCGTGTGACAAGTGTGCAGGAATGGGGGTGGAGCCACACGCGAACGCAGTCTCTGGGGCCTTCGGTGGAGCTCCCTGTGATATGAGGCCACGAAGCGTGTGATGACTGTGCCGGAATAGGGACCGGAACGGCGTGCGGCTTTTGCGACAGGGGCCTTCGGTGGAGCTCAGATGGGGGCACGAAACGTGTGATGGGTGTGCAGATAGAAGGGGCGGAACCGCATGCGAACGTAGCCACTGGGACCTTCGGTGGAGCTTCCTTGGGGGGCACGAAACGTGCGAGGGGTGTGCTAGATGCTAGAAGGGGGTGGAACCGAAGGTGAACGCAGCCACTGGTGCCTTCGGTGGAGCTCCCTACGGGGGCACGAAACGTGTGCTGAGCGTGCCGAAACAGGCGGTGAAACCGCAGGCGAACGCACCTACTTGGGTCTTGGGTGGAGCTCCCTATGGGGCCACGAAGCGTGTGGAGGGGTGTGCCGAAATGCGGGCAGAACCGTATGCCAACGCTGCGACTGTGGCCGTCCGTGGAGCTCCTTCTGGGGCCACGAAGCGTGTGAAGTGTGTGTGTGTGTGTGCCGATATAGGGGGTGGAGCAGCATGCGAACGCAGTCACTGGGGCCTTCGGTGGAGCTCCCCGTGGGGCCACGAAGCGTGTGAGGGGCGTGCCAGAATGGGGGTGGAACCGCATGCGAACGCAGCCACTGGGGCCGTCGGTGGAGCTCCCTATGGGGCCACGAAACGTGTGAGCGTTGTGGCGAAATAGTGGGTGGAACGGCATGCGAACTTTGGAACGGCATGCGAATTTTGCCATTGGGGCCCTTGGTGTAGCTCGTATGGGGCCACGAAATGTATGAGCGCTGTGTTGAAATGTGATGTGGAACCGCATGCGAACTTTTCCACTGGGGCCTTCGGTGGAGCTCCTTATGGGGACACAAAGCGTGTGAGAGGTGTACCGACATGGTTAACATGAGGCGGGCAGAGGCAGGGATGCGAGGAGGGAGTAGGAGGAGGAGGAGAGGAGAGGAGATGAACGCGGGGTATTGTCTGATCAAAACGAGAAACTAACACCACAGGATCGTTGGGAGAAACATTCATACAGAGCCCCCAGCAGGGCGATGCACGAGCCGGGCCCCCTGTATGGGTTCAAGGGCTCTAGGCCTCCCAGATGGGGTCGGAGTTGACGGTGTGGGGGGATCGCGCCGCATCGCCGATGCATCAGCGATGCGGCTCGATGTGGAATCCACGCCGGCGTCGAGACATCTCCAGGGCGGCCGAAGAGGTCCTCTGGGGAAGCCCAGCGCGGCCCAAGAGAGCTTCCGAAGTGGCCCATCGTGCACGACCCATTCAGACGCTGAAATAAGGAACAGTTTTGACCGGATGGGGCTGGATATTCCTTGAGACCTTCAATGGCTGTTCCTCAAGCCATCCTCGTGAGAGAAGGCGGTTATGGGGCCCAAAAGGGCCCTCGTTCCTGATTAGCGTTCCTTATTTCCGCGGCCCGACTGTGCGGACCAGCAGAGCCGCCGCAGCCGCTCTGGCTGAAGTATACGGCCGCGCAGGGTCGCCGCGCCCGCCGACGGTCTGCGACGAGGGTGCCATCCTTGGTTCGCCGACGGAGCATGGACATATCCGCCGTGGCCCCCTCGATCATCTGCCTGGCGGTGGTGTCGCAGGTATTTGGTGCCTGTGGCTTCATCACGCGCTGCGCCCGCGATGAGGTATCGCCCCGTCGCTGCGCAGACATGCTGTCCGCCGTCTCTCCGAGCTGGATCTCCGCTCTGATTTCCGGTCCCAAAACGAGTGTGCAGGAGCGTGCCCTTCAAGAGCATATCTTCAAGGTCCGCGAGAACAATCGCCTCAGAAGTTTCAGAGCAATGCAGCCGTTAGCATTAGTTTATGCACTTTTAATGTTGTTCAATGACTTCTTTGTGAATGATCGTTGGCAGTTAATTGCCGACATATGGTCTAATGAATCTCCTGACGTGACAGTCTCGAGGGACTCGGCATTATGGGCATCAATCATCTTTCGCACCATCGTAGGCATCGTTGGTTTTTGGTTCCAGCAGAACGCGAATCTCACGTTTGTCAGAGGTTGGCACATGTTTCTGTTTCTACGTTTGGTGTGGGAATGCGTTTTTATTAGTGATGAGTCCTATCCTTATTGGCTGGCGATCTCGGCGACAGAACGAGTGGGTTTGAGCGCTGGCCTAAGAGAGCCTATCAACGCACTAGTATTCAATGTTGTAATTTCGATATCTTGCTTCGTCTGGCACCCATCTGCCCCATTCAACCAGCACGTTGAAATCCACCTCAACATTATCGGGCTCTCTTTGCTTATTCCAGCCATGTTCGACGCAATCGGCTACGACAACCAGAGAACCGTCCTGGAGACTCAAGCCCTGCGCGAGGAGCAGCACAGGGCAACGGTTGAGGCGCAGGCCTTGCGCACTGCTGAAGGGCTGCTCTCATCCTTGTGCGATGCCGTTGTGCACCTCGATGAAGACCTGCGGATCAAGGGTCCTTCGCCCCGTCTGGCGGGGCTCCTGCTTCGGCAGTCCAGCCACGCGCTTGCGGGCGTGCCGTTCGCGGACATGTCCGCCAGCCCGGCGGAGGCCAAGCGGCTGCTCGGCTTCCTGCGCCGGGACAGGGAGGGGTCCGGCAGCCTGCACACGTCGCTGCGCGATTCCAACGCCAGCGCTGTGAAGGTCCAGCTCTACCACATGCGGGGGCTCGACGTGGACGACCGCGCCTTCCACGTCGTTGGAGTGTGCGAGGAGGCCGGGTCGTTCCGGGAGCCCCCGGCGGCCAGCGCGGCCGCCGCTGCGCCGCTCTGCCAGCCTCGCGGCGCGAGCAGCAACCAGGTGCGGGCCCGCAGCTCCGCGGGGAGCCCGTCGGGGTCTTCGCTGTCGTCGTCGGCGCGGGAGAGCGTGATGACGCTGTACCTCAACGAGGAGGTCACCCTGTACTTTCGGCCGTTCGTCGAAAGGTACCCGATCGAGCACTGCTCGGTGGGCTGTGCCGGGGTGGGCTTGCCAACGCCCGGGGAATCGCTCATCGACTTCTTCGAGGGTAACTCAGATGACTTCGTCGAGGCGGTGCAACAGCTGGTGATGGCATGGCACAAGGGCCACGCCCCCGGCCCGTACTGCATGGGACGCCTGAGGTTTACAGCGCCCCGCTTGAGGCAAGCCAGGATCTGCATACCGTTGACAAAGCACACAGATCTCCGAGGTCCGCGCAGAGCTCCTGGATCGCTGCTGAGTCCCCCCCTCCCCGGCGCGCAGAGCGCGCCATGGGGGCCCGGCGCCGACCTCAGAGAACTCCGCGCGGGCCCCCCGGGAGCTCGTGCCCGCGCCCGCCCCTGCCCCCTCCGAGGATCGAGCTGCGTGCCCAGGCCGAGCTCTCCATGCAGCACAACGCGGGCATCGAGGACCTCGGCGCGTGGACGGTGAAGGCGTGCCTCTCCGACGTGCAGAAGGTCCTGTGCCTGGCCCCGCGGCGGGGGCCCCGGCGGCCGCCGCAGGACGTGCGCACCGCTGCCGCGCCGCGCGGCCGCCAGCCGGCGGCCGAGCTGCGCGGCGAGGGGGCGCCGCCTCCGAGCCCGGCGGCCGGCCGCCCCGGCGCGGCCCGCGCGCCCTTCGTCGCGGGCCCCCTGCTGCGCCGCCGGCCGACGGCCGAGGTGCGCCGGGAGGGCTGAGAGAAGCCCTCCCTCGAGCAGGGGCCGCGTCGGCGCGGGGGAGCGCCGGGGTCTGGGCTCGAGTCGGGCCTGTCCATTGACAGGGGGAAGGTTCAGAGATAGTCGAAACGTAGTCTGGGGGCTAATTATTTTTTAACAGGGTCTTTGGACCATTGTGGAGCATTTTTGTTTGTTTGTTCGTATTTTTCATTTTTCGCCGAAGGTCCCCCTGCAGGGGGACGCGCCCAAGGCAAGTCTGGGCAGATCCAAGGCCTTGCATGTGGGATCTCCGCCCCACGCGTGGTTGTGGCCCTGTGGGCGTGGCGTGATAGACGGGGGCGCCGTGGTGCGGTGCCGTCGTCGTCGTCGTCGTCGTCGTCGTCGTCGTCGTCGTCGTCGTCGTCGTCGTCGTCAATCCCCCCTCATCCCATGTGGGGGAGGGGCCTGTGGAACCTCGGGACCCATCCCATCTGGGGGGGTGGGAGTGTGAACCCTCGGCCTGGGATCATACATGCCTCCCTGGCCATGCAAGGAGAGCCTACACGCCGTTGCTGGACCCCAGGATGCGCCAGGCCTGGGGCAGTGCACACGCCTAGATCTCGCCGCCCTACCCGCTGGAAGCGGCCAAGACGCCGACAGAACGAAACCACTCTGGGCTCGGGAGGGGCTCCGGTGCTCGGGCTGGCTCCCCAGATCCCGGTCACGAGACCGATGCGTGGCCGAGGCCTGCCGTGGCTTGGCAAGCTCCTTCGCTCCTTCTTTCAGCGAGCGAAGAACGGTATAAAATAAACTTTTTCGCTGTCGGGGGCGCCTGTCCTTCGGCGGCTGGAAAGTTTATACCCCGACCGTGCCACCGTAAGGGTAGAAATTTTCCAGCCGCCCTGGGACAGGCGCCCGCGACAGCGAAAAAGTTTATGTTATACCGTGCTTCGCCCGTTAATTCTTCGTCGCTCCCTGTGGTTATCACGATGGCTGCAGGCTCGGGTGCACTGCGGATCCCAGGGCGATGCTTCCCTCTCACGCTGCTCCTCGTTCGGAAGCTGACGAGTATATGCCTGGCCCTCCCTGGCGGTGGGTGCCTCTGGCAGCGCTCCTAGCGCCCCTAGCGCGCTCCGAGCTCCAGGCACGGGGTCCAGCGCCGATGCAAGGAATCAGCGCGGATGCTCGCCTCGGGCTCTGCACGCTGGTCGAGATTGCTGGCGCTTTTCCTGACGGTCCGAGCATGAGTTCTGACGGTGCAGTATCCGTGAGATATCTGCAGCGAGAGTTTGCGTGATTTTGGGTCTTCGTCCTCCTGGTGCCGATCTTGCTCCTGCCTCGCCTGCCGTGCCATCGCTTGCCCGCACCGCTGCACATGTCCCCGTGGCTCCACCTTTCATGCATCCTGGAGTTGTGCGCATCCAGATGTCTCCGCAGCTGTTACCCTTGGTGTGAGGCTCTGTATATGATGTGATTGCGACGTCGTCGTCTGCTGCATACAGTCGGGGCGCTGAGGAAGGAACCCTTTTCGTTTGGGAGGGGGCTCCGTGTTCCTTAGTTGTTTTACAGTGCTCCTTGGGGTTCCCTGAGGTTTCACATGGGAAATCGAAGTTCAAATTCTGGGAAAAGGGGCCTCGTTCCTTATTTAGGGTTCCTTGGGTCAACGCCCCACTATTTACATTGAAAAAGTTTGCCAGCGTGGATCCCGAGCAGACGATTATGGTACGTCGACGTATAATTTGCGTGGCGCATTAGGTCTGTGGTGCAGCATATGGAATGAGGTTCATGCGATCCAAGCTATGTTATTCAACCTATGTGGCGTCATCCCTCAGGGATGACGCCACATAGGTTCCGATTTCGATTCCGATCCGGCTTGACGCGGTCCGGTTTCCGACTCGATCCGGCTCGGACTTGCCGACTTCAGCCGATTTCGATTTGGGTGCCGGATTTTGCCAATTTCTGCCGATTCGATGTTCCGGTCGACCCGATCCGGCTTATCGATTCGTTGTTGGGGCCGCTTGTCCCTGTGATGCAACGCTCTGTGTCGTGCCCGCCATGTGTCGCAGTAGACGTGGTGCGATCTAAGGCGTGCAAGCCATGTTATCTAGCCCACGTGGTGCAGCATGCGCGGCGTCCACGCAACTAGCGCAATGATGAAACGACCAGTGTTGATAATGACGACGACATCCGCTAAGGCCGCGCTAATGTCGGTGGCTGTGCCGCTGACGATGACGACGACAACGATGCTGATGATGATGAAGATGTTGATGATGATGACGACGGTGGTCATGCTTTGGACGATGATGGTGATGGTGATGAACCTGACAGTGACGATGATGACGGCTGCAATGACGACACTGGCGATGATGACGACGAGGGCGTTGACGAGGATGGCGACGAGGAAGTTCGCGCGCACATCCCTGAAAAGGTTATTGTTGAACCCATCTGTGCTTGAGTACTTAGAAAACACAGGGGCCGGCAAGGATTTCGCCGTGCTCCCACGGAGACGCGCGCGTGTGGCCCCGCATGGCATCCTTCGACAGGGGTAGTGGGTGCGAGATGACGGTTGAATGCTTTTGGCATGGACGCACGTGTATGTGTGTGTGTGCGTGTGTGCGTGTGTGTGTGTGTGTGTGTGTGTGTGCGTGGTTTGTGTCCGTGTGTGTGTGTGCGTGGTTTGTGTGTGTGTGCGTGTGTGTGTGTGTGTCTGTGGTGTGTGTGTGTGTGTGGCTGTGAGCGGGCCCGGCTTTCTCCTCCCGCCGTCGCTGGGCGTCCCTCCTCTTTCCCCCGTGCAATGCGCCTGAATTCGCAATGATTCGTCTAATTTTTTGCTCTTCCGCCAGCGCAGTCACTCTGCCTAGCCGCCGACGCAAAAAGTGTGTGTGTGTGTGTCATGGCGACAACATCGCAGAGCGGATGTTGATCGGGCAACAATTGGATGGGCCCAGATTGTTCTTGAGAATATCGTTCCGGATTTCGAGGTGAGTTTCGCTCGGATTTGATTTGGCCGTGAAGGAAGATTCCAAACCATCCACGTTACAATAATGTCGTTTTTCGCTCGCCGTTTCGGGGTTTTGCATCGACAGAAATCCCCGCAAACATCCGCTGCAGCACCTCTGCGAGGCCGGTGCGACGATGTGTGGCCTGCATGTGTTTTGCTCTGCAAAGTGGCAAACACATCAGCTGAACACTGGCATTTCAGCGAGAGTGCGCGCGTCCATGTGGCATGTCGCATGGATCCCGTACGTTATTGCGTTGAGGGCATGATCTTTAGTTCAAATTCAAATGGTGTTGAAAGGATGTATACATATTCGCTCAAGTGTGGCCCGCATTGTCGCGTTGGGTACCTACCCTTAACACGGCGCATTTTTAGATCTACCCCGCATGGTATTATCAGACCGAGGTGGCGCGGGGGATTGATGCTAGTCTTCTGCGCGTGGTGGTATTGAATAATGTGTATGGGCACGCGTGTATAATACGAATTGATCACACACCAACACGAAACGCTGGACCCATATTTTCAACCTAAGATTAGGGACAGTGTGGTGCAAATTATGTTGCACAACCAGAGATGTCAGCCGACGCGAGGGAAGCCGACGAGGCAGCGACAGACGCCAGATCGAAGTGCCTGTTCGTGCAGGCACTGTCCTGGAAAATACACCGGACGTCTAAATAGTAGCCGCTGGTCCCTTCCCTTGTGTCGGTGACGTCCAGGCTGGCCTAGATGTTTCAAGAAGACCAGCCGCACCACGCAGGCGAGTAACTGTTGGCCTCAGGCACTGTACGCATGTCGTTTTATAGTTCGGCTCGATGCCGCCAATCCTCCACCCCACGCCCTGACGGCACGGGCAGGCGGCCTGGCGGACCGTGTACTTTTCCGCCGCCTGGGCTTCTGAGCTCTACCCACCGCCGCTTTCCAGACCGTCACAGTACGCGTCTTGTTGCGGTATCAGTAGATGGACGCCCCCTTCCTTCTCCAAAAGCGCCATTCGGACGCCACCTTGGGCGTAGTTCCGCAGGTCTTGCCGCGGCATTCGCCAGGTGGCGTTGGCACCCGGCAGAGGGGGCCATGCAGAGGGCCAGTGAGGTTGATGCGCTGTCACGGCAGGCTGGAGGTCACCAGGTAGCCGTGCCAGAGGCGTCGGTGTTTGGTTTCGCCCAGCGGCTGGTTGTGGAGTCATTGCGTCGGATCGTCGCAGCCCGGCTGGAAACAAGCAGTGATAATACATCGCCAAAAGGACCCAAGATGCGCGCCAGAGACCCCCACTGAGTAGGCCTCCAAGATAGCACACATGTGCCCCAAGAGAGCCTCCATCAAAGTGAACATCTTCGCAAGAAAATATGGCAATGGCTTGTGTATTCGCTACATTTCGAAATGCTCAAGCTTTCGGCCTTCTGACCAGGGATGTCTGTTTTTTGACGGTCTGACAAGATCGCGCTTCAACGTTCGGCATATTGCGCTCCCTCAAGCTGGCAGGGTGCTCCTGGTCGAATCGTGTGTACGTGTGCTCGCACTCGTGGGCAGTGGGGCTGGCAGAGAATCAGGCCTGGAAGAGAATGTGTATCTGGCATTGTGCCAGACCGCACGGGGCACCGCGTGGGCGGTTGACGGGGAGCGTCCACGAGGAGCAAGAAGCGTGAACCGTTAATCCAGTGGTTTGCGGTAATTCCCGCTATTGCGCCAGCACAGCAGCATAGGACGGAGGTCGAGTTTAAGATTTGTTCCAGTTCATCGCCTTCTGTTGCGGCCTGTTGCTGGGCGCCTTGGAGACGGTCTCCGTCGCCGTCGCGCATCCTACCAGCGCGGTAGCGAGGGGGAACGCCATGGCGAAGTGGGACGCTCTTCCTCTTGTAAACGCCTTCGGGTAGTTCTAGCAAGGCGGAAAGGTGAGCTTGTCTTTGTTGATCCGCCAGCGTCTCCCGCGCCATTGTTGGCCAATGTGGCGTCTGCGTCGGTGCACGCTCCTTGAGCGTGGCTCTCATCAATTCCTTGGCATGCTGTCTCTACTTCATCGCGTTGTGCCTGATTATCCCATCTACCTCTTCTTGTTGTTTCTCTCCACCACCTGTATTTCCTTCCTGCCTCTTCTGATACTTCTCCTCTGCTTGTCGGTGGCAGCAGCCTGTGCCTACAGCTGGGCTCCATGGTCATTATGTGCGCGTATCAGGTCTGCAATCCGAGTTTGTTCCAGAGCTTGTTCTTGTAACTCTCCTCCTCCTCCTCCTCCTCTTCCGTGTCCATGCCGTACCTGCCTTGGCTTCAGGCATCATGCAATCTGTCAGACAGGCTTGTTCTACACAGCTGCCAATGGAGTGTCCCGCTATTTTTCGTCACCCCGCCAATTGCCCACACATGCCCCACTGATGGCCCGCGAACGCCCCGCTCCACTTTCGGCTTCACTACTGGCTCCGCTAGTGGCCCACGACTGAACCTGGCTCACACATGGCCCACTAATGAGATTGACCCACTGATGACCCACGAATCGCCCACTAATGACCTGCCAATGGCTTCTGACACACTAGTGACCACTTCATTATCTTCGAACGGTTCACATCTGATCTTTCTTTCGCGCCAACGCGATTGCAATTACCACCAGTGCCAGATCAGGCGGTCATTAGCGTGCCATTCGCCAGGTCCAAAGGTAATGTGAGCCAGGGCCATTACTGAAACTTGTTTTCACCTGCTGGGCGGTCAAGCCTGCGGACCTGATCTCCACCGACCAGTCCGTCAAAGGCCGGCACTTTGGCGCCATCGCAGGGAAGTTGGCCGCCGCGGGCGCAGACGGATGTGGATCTGCAGCCAGGGGACCTTGGAGCCAGACCGGCCACGGAGGAGGACAGACGGGCAGGGGGGAGGAGTGGGAAGGAGCGGGAGGCGCGGCAGGGCCGCCCCGGTGCCAGGGCAGAAGTTCTACTACAACCGGGACAAGCAGACGAGCGTCTGGACCGATCCGCGGCCTGCACGGTGTCACTGCCTGTGCCCCCGGGGGCTGGGCGAAGTCCTCTCTGCGCAGGGGCGCGGGCCTCTCGGGGGGCCTCTCGCGGGGGGCCCGCCCGTCCCCGGGCCTCCTCTGGGGGGAGCTGCGGGAGGGGCTCGGTGCTTTCCCGCCACTGCCGTGGGGTCGGCCAGGGCACCAGGCCATTCGCCGAGGGATTGTGGGCGGTCAGATGCACTGGCTTCCCCCAGCCGACGTTGGTGTATACGTCGAGCCCCTCCCGGAGCTCGAGGATGAGAAGACCGCGCGGACGTGAATGGGCTTTTGGAGGTCCGCGCGGACTTCTTCCTCCCACGCCGTCCTCGGTGCGGCTCGCGCAGTCCAAGAGATCTGCGTGGAGTTGCGAATGCTAAGAATTATGCTTCTGCGTATCTCTCATGTCCTGAGTATAGGGGTTATTGATACCTGTCGGACGCCTCCTCCTCCTCCTCACCCACTCGTTCACTCCTTCCCGCCGCCCTCACTCATTCATTTGCAGAATCACTGTTACCCAGACCTTTCACACTCGAACCGATTCGTACTCGGGCTCACTCATACTCAGACTCCTTCGTGCGATACTCAGACGCACTGACACAGACTCACTCATCCGCAGACACCGTCATACTCAGACTTTCCAGACTCCCGCGCACTCAGTCAATTTTGTTTTCAGACTCACGCACACTTAGGCCAAGTCTACTCGGACTCACACACATAGTACACTCCTACTCAGGTCACTCATGTTCAGCAGACCAACTTACGCCCAGATCCCTCAGACTCAGAATTAGTCTACTAAGGGTCCTTCGTGTTTCCAAGACCAGCTCGTGATTGAGATGCCGCGAAACAGCCATAATCTCAAATGCGGTGTAGCAGGAATGGCACTTGGGCTACCAATGAGGAGCCGCCAGGGGCATGTCTGTTGTGTTTCCGCCCGAGGCAACTCGTATGCACGCTCCCCATGGCCGTCACTCAGCTGGCCGCTAACCTCCTGCACTCCGCCTCGGCCCACTCGTTGGGGCGCTTCCCTAGAGGGGGGGTGGACAGAACCCCCAACAGTGACACGTCGATTAGTGAATTGTCCGTTTTCGGTTCTCGAGAGGGCGCCGTTGCCGTCATTTTCCAGGCTTGCGCCCGCCAGGTTTGGGCCTCAGGTCGTTTTCGTTAAACCACGTGTTGCTAAAGTGGGGTGTGTCCATCCCCGATAGGGGGGGGGGGGGGGGGGCGACCAGAGGGCGTGTGACGTGTCCGTTCGCGCCCCGACTGGGGGGAGTCTCTCGGCCCAGTTGCTGCTCTCGCCCCTTCGACGTGGACCTCCGCGGCGTCGAGGGCATCGCACTGCAGGGACCGCCCAGGATGGGGCGGGCAGGGCTCCTTCGCGCCCAGGTGGCGGGGAGCCCTCGGGTGGAATCGCCGTGCTGGCCCCCTATCTCGGACTCTTCTCGCTCGAGAGGCCCATGGGCAACGCGATGCAGCAGGCATCGCAGCTGGCACTCACCAGGAGGGGGTGAGCACCGGGGGGTACCGCATGTCCATTCGCGCACAGCCGGTGGGGACCTAACAGGCAAAGCGCCCGCTTGGGCCCCTTGAAGGATCACCACGGTGTGGCGGGCATCGCGCTCGGGCCTCCCCAAGGGGAGAGGCGACCAGGGGGGTGTCAAATGCCGGTTCGCGCCCAGATGTGGGGACCTCTAAAACGACGCGAAGATCGGGACAAAATCGGATCGGGATAACTCGAAATCTCTGAGAATCGGCGGGTTTGGAGGATGTATTGGGCGCCGCGGCCGCTCCAGAGCGTTCCGGAACGCTCTGGAGCGATTTATCCCGATCCTAGCCCTGTTTTAACCTCGCGGGCGGCCCGTCTGTGTTGGCCCCTCGGACTCCGACTCATTCTCTGTGTTGAGAGCTTTGTGATCACAACGATGTAGCAGGCATCTTGGTTGCCCCCCCCCACTACCCAGGGGCGAGTGGCTCAGGGATATGTCACAGGCCTTTTCGCGCCTACATAGTTTGGGACCTCCTCACACCGCGATGTAGCACACGCCGCGTTTGGGACCCTCCAAGAGGGAGCCGACCAGGGGTGCATCATGGGCACGATCACCCCTGGATTGCGCAGACCACTTTGGGAGAATGCCCGTCTTGCCCCCTCAGTCTCCTTTCTCTTGACAGCCTCATGATCACCGGTTGGATACCGCACGGGAAAGCCAAGAGGGGGATCTCACACTGGCCCGTTCGTGCCCAGACTGCAAGAAATTCTCAGGAAGGTCCTGGGTTTTGGCCCAGTAGACGAGTCTCCCCGTCGAGGAGGCCACACTAGGATCGAGGGCGCTTCAGGATGCCCCAAGGGGCACCGGGACACCCCAGGAGTTCCCAGCAGGAGTTTCTGCCTCGGGAGGTCCCAGGAGGGCCAAATCCCAAATGTTGGGCCAGAGTTTGGCCAGGATATTGGACTGTTGTATTTCCCCAGCTGTTGTGGAAACCTTTGGGGGATCACTTGGGGGAGGAAGGCAGAGGAGGAGGTGGAGGAGGCGGATTAGGAGGCGGAGGAGGAGGAGGAGGAGGAGGAGGAGGAGGAGGAGGAGGAAGAGGAGAAAGAGAGGCAGGAGCAGGAGAACCAGAGGAGGACGACATGAGGACGAGGATGAGGCTTCTCAGGACCCTCTCGGGGCCTCCTGCGGTACCACACCCCTGCTGCATTCTTGTCCCCCGCATTTGTACGGTACCATTTTGGTTGTTCTGCGTACCGTTGCATCCCTTTGCGCTGCCCGCCCGGGCATACCGCGAGATAGTTTGGCGGTTGTTGGCATGTGGGCCTTGTCGGCAGAGCTTGGTCGGGCCCTTGATTGCAGACTTTGGGACTTCCGGACGGACTGCGATCGCCATTTCCCCCAGAAGAGGGTAACGTTCTGCGCAAACCAGTGGTTTGCTTCGAGCGAGCCTCACCCGAGAATGCGAGCTGGGCTGCCCAGGGAGCATCGGCACATGGGTCCTGGCGGACGCGGTATGCAGCTGTCACTCGTCGAAGACACGAGGCGAAATCTCCAGGAAGCACCGGCACCACCTGGGCCTGGCGGCGCCATGCAGGGTGTGCCAGGCGGGTCAGGAGCTGCTCTCCCTGAAAGCCTCGGCGCCCCATCCTGGTTGGGTGCGAAACACTGGCTGCTCCTCGTACAGTCGGGCCGCTGAACAAGGAACCCTTTCCGTTTGGGAGGGGCTGCGTGTTCCGTAGTTGTGTTGCAGCGCTCCTTGGGTTTTCCTGAGGTTTTCCATGGAAATCGGAGTTTAACTTATATGAAAAAAGCGGCCTCGCTCCCTATCTAGGGCTCCTCAGGTCAACGCCTCGACTGCACCGGTGCAAGCGGACACGGGCCCCGCTGGCAGCAGTCGTGCTCTGCGGCGCGGGCAAGCAGAGCGGCCGCGCACGGGCCGCGGCGCGCCCAGAGGGGGGCGGTGCGGGGACGGTCGCGCGGATGGGCCGCCAGGGGTTGCTTCCTTGTGGGCAGGGCTCGAGCTGACCGCTGGTCTGCCCATTTCGTGGGCCGTTTTCGTTTCGTTTTCGTTCCGCAGCCAGGGTGGAGCGGAGACAGGGAGGGACGGCGACGACGAAACGAAGACGGAACACACTGTTTCGCTCGAGCCCTGCCTGTGGGCTGTGGGTTCCCCTCAGGGGCAACGCCAGAGGGGGGACGGGCTCAGGCGGAGGCGCATCTCGACCCCCACTCGCCCATTCCTCGCCGATGGGGGCCCGAGATAGCCCACCCCACGCAGGAGCGGCCGGTTCTGCGACCGAGGGCCTGTCACCATCGAGGGCCCGTCACGGATCTCTTCTGCCTATGTTTAAGTCGGGCGTGTCCCCCTACAGAGGGATTTTCGACGAAAAATGGAACATACCCCAGAAATGCTCCAAAAAGATAGATATTCAAAAAAAAGTCCCCAGGCTAATCCGATAGCCCTTATAACGGCGACGATGGAACACAGTGCCGGGGAACTGCTTTGAACATCACCAGTCGTTCAAAGCAGTGCCCCGGCACTGCTTTGAACGATGCGGAAATGCGATCAGCAGGAGCCTTCGTCTGTTCCTTCTCCTCTTCTCGTCGCTGTATGCTCTTCCTTGTCCTCCCTCCTCCCCCGTTCCCTCTCTAATTAATTACCTCGTTCTCCCAGTCTCACGCGCACTCTTCCTCCCCCCTCTCCTCCTCCTCTTCCTGCTTCTCCTCCTCGTCCTCCTCCTCCTCCGCCTCCTCCCCCTCATTTGTTATATTTCTCCGTCCTTGTCCTCCTGTCCCCGTTCTCCTTCTCCCTCTCCTCCTCCTCCTCCTCCTCGTCGTCGTCGTCCTCCTCCTCTTCCTCCTCCTCCTCCTCCTCCTCCTCCTCTTCCTCCTCCTCCTCCTCCTCCTCCTCCTCCTCCTCCTCCTCCTTCTCCTCCTCCTCCTCCTCCTCCTCCTCCTCCTCCTCCTCCTCCTCCTCCCCCTTCCCCCTCTTCCTCCTCTGCTATCACTCCTCCATAATTCCTGTCCGCTCCTCCCCTTCACTGATCTTCCTCTTCGTCATCATCATCCCTTTCGTCGCACGCCTCTTAATCCTCAATCGGTTCCCAATCTTCTCGACTTTCTTGTCATCCGCGTCCTTGGCTGTTGGAGGGGCCTCAGGAATTCTCAGGGCTCTTGTGTTGCACGCGAAGGCACACCTCCCAGGAACGCATCATCCTCCTCACATTCACCCTCCTCCTCCTCATCCTCCTCCTCCATGCACGTTCGGCTCAAGCCCGCGCCGACGGTAGGTTTCACGGCGGTTGGGCGGGCTCGCGCCCGCCTCCGCGGCCTGCAGTCGGGGCAGAGATGCGTGCAGGGTGGGATGACAAAGCGGAAGAGGAAACACGGGCCGCAGTTGCGGATTCTTCAAAGAGCAGCGGCGGCGGTTGGGGAACAAGTGGGGGTTGGGGCGGCCGCAGTGGCGGATACGGCGGCGGAGGTGACCGCAGTGGCGGCTGGGGCGGCGGAGATTCTCT